CCCCAAAACCCCAAAACCCCAAAACCCCAAAACCCCAAAACCCCACAAGTTTACTTCAAGATTGAATTTTCTACTTGATCCCGAGGTTTCGATCCACTTCGAGCATGGAGAACTTAGTTCTCCCCTTTTTATTGAGAATAGCCAGCATAGTACGGATGTCTGACAGCTCGGTATTCCTTCTGATAAGTGTCAAAAAACCCTTGTTCTTGATCAGGTCAATTTTCTTGACTCTCCTGAGCTTCATGGCCTTCTGGGCGTACTCGTAAGAAGGGTCTCATTGGAGCTCCTTATCATTAGGTAGCTTTGGCTCCAGGAGTTTGTCTAAGACAGCTCTGTATTCCTGACCAAAGTCCTTTTTCCCCAAATCGAGGGGAGAGTCACCATTGTCATTCTCTTTTCTAGAGGAAGTGTTCCAATTTTTTCTCTTCTGAATTACTGATTTGCTCTTTCTCTTCTCTTTTTCCTTTTTGTTCATCAAAATGTGGTAGTATGGGTTTGTAATCTTAACTGGAGCTATCGCCCTCGTTCTGGTCTGTTAAATTTTAATAACAATTTTAGAGAGAATTTAGTTCAGTCGAGTTTAAAATATTAGCTAAAAATGCAGTCGTTGTAAGACACAATCCAAATGTAAGGGTATTTTTAGCCTTACCTTACTCGTAGGCTTCTCCTCCAACTCTGTACGGTATTGGTTTGGGACAATGTTGTTCTTTACACTCTCCTCAACTTTTATGGTCTTTTTCCCTCTTAAAAATGTCAAAATAAAGCATTCACAATAAACATATAATTTAATTAGAAAAGAAGTAAAATCTTTGCTTGATAACTTACTTGTCATCTTGTTGAGCTTGAATTAACTCATTAAAATCCATAAGCTGCTTATCTTTGACTAAAAATAGTTCAAAGCCAGCATACCTGTATTACCGAAATAGATGCTCCCAACTCTGGTGTCATAATAAGACACTCTGTTCTGAGATTTATTAAAGCTCTAAAATTAGTCATTCTATGAATTACCCTGTTATAAGAAGTCTTTGTCATGCTGGCTGGTATTCTGTGCGAATTATGAAATAAAATACTTATGAAGCTTAACTTTTCCCATATTTTGGGAGCTTTTGGCAGTCTTCCTGATCCTTATCGTCCTTGTCATCTAAACTCAGAGTTTAGCTTTCTGGAAGTTTTAATCGAAAAATTGATATTTAAGTTAGTTTTAAACGAATCTGTTATTTTTCTTTGAAAATTTCGAAATTTCAAAGTATTTACCTCCCTCTGTTTTAGCTCAGGTGAAATACTTCTATTAAGCAGAACTCTAGATACAGACCGTGTAGAGCCCTTTAGCACATCAAATTTCTGAGAAATCATCTCCTTCGAGGTTTCAGTAGGCATCTGATGGACACAAGACGGTTGCCCAAAATTGACAGTATTTCCTTGCAAATCAAACCCGTAGTCGTATTCCCAAAGTTTGATGGACTTTTTAAGCTTACTAGAATAACTTCTCAGATGCAATGCAGGGGTAGCACTCTTTCTTTTAATCTCTGCTCCTCTCATTTATTATCGCTCGATTATGATATAAATTTTGATAAATATTTTGGGGTTTTGGGGTTTTGGGGTTTTGGGGTTTTGGGG